TGGCCAGCCATGCTTAAAACAGGGATTCTGGGAGTTGAAGTCTACATGACTTAAAGCGTGAAGTCCACCCATCTTAAAGCAGGCTGGCTGGGGAATTCTGGGAGTGGAAGTCCACCCATCTTAAATCCTACTGGCTGGGTTGAAATTACAATAGTTGCTAAGCAAGCAGTCATAAGTTGAGGACTATAGATGGATCTCAACTTATGACCAAAGGGAACCCCAAATTTCTGTTGCTAAGCAAGACAGTGGTTAAGTGAGTCTTGCTCCAATTTACGACCTTTCTTGGCACCATTATTAAGTGATCCACTGCAGTTGGCAAGTTAGAAACCCGGTTGTTAAGCTAATCTGGCTTCCCCATTGGCTTTGCTTGTCAGAAGGTCGCCAAAGGGGATCACGTGACCCGGGGATGCTGCAGCCATCATAAGTACATGCCAGTTGCCAAGCATCCTAATTTTGATCATGTGACCATGGAGATTCTGCAACCGTCATATGAAAAATGGCCGTCTAATTTTTCATTGCTATTATAATTTCAGCCGGTCAGTAAACGAATGGGGGGATAAGTCAGAGGACTATTTCTATCTACACCACAAAATGTAACAGACTGAAAGGACTGATCTAATCCAGGGGTCCTTAAAGTTGACAGCTTTAAGACTTGTGGACTTCAACTCCCAGAATTCCTCCTCCAGTCATGTTAGCTCAAGAATTCTGGGAGGTGAAGTCCACAAGTCTTAAACTTGCCAAGTTTGAAAACCTTGGAATAGAGAATAAGAATAGAATAGAATAGAAGAATTTGAATAGAATTGAATAAGAATGTAAATAAGAATTTTAGAATAAAGAATAGAATAAGAATAGAATAAAATAAGAATAAGATTTTTAGAATAGAATAGAGAATAGAATCTGAATAAGAATTTTAGAATATAGAATTTAAAAATAGAAATAAGAATTTAAAAATAGAATAGAGTAGAGAATAGAGCAGGGGTCTTCAAACTTGGCAGCGTTAAGACTTGTGGACTTCAACTCCCAGAATTCCTCCTCCATCCATGTTAGCTCACGAATTCTGGGAGTTGAAGTCCACAAGTCTTAACGCTGCCAAGTTTGAAGACCCTTGATCTAATCCAATCCAAGCAGGCTAAAATCTACATCAAAAACTTACCTGGTTGGGCAATTCAACAATGGTGATGTTCTCCTTGGATGTATAGGTCATGTTGAACCTTACCGCCAAAGTCTCATTGGGTGGAGCCCTGCAGGGACATCAGAAAATGAAAATGGCATAGATGGGCAGTGAACATGCAACTGGGAGAATTCGCACCCTCACGTGTCAGCGTTCCAACCAAACTCCCAGTTTCATTCAGCACTCAGAAACAAACTTCATCCAAGTAAGAATTTATTACAGTTGTCACATTGGCACTGTCAACTCATAAAATAATTCTATGGTCTTTTAGAGTTGCCAACAGAAAGAGAGCGGGGATCAGTATGACAGCTTGCAACCAAAACAGCATTCCATAAATGTTTTCAAAGATAGTAACTAGGTGGATTAGGTGGATTAATCCAAAAAGAAACCCCAACCAAAATCCAAGACAGAGAACAGGAGAACGTCAAAGCCCTCCTCCCATATATAAAAGGCACTACAGACAAAATCAGCAAGATCCTCCAAAAACACAACATTAAAACAGCATTCTGCACAAACAGAAAAATATCCACCATCCTAAGAAACCCTCAAGACAAAATCGAGTTAGAAAACCGAGGAGTATACGGAATCCCTTGCACCGCCTGCCCCACCACATACATCGGACAAACTAACAGAAGAATAAGTGCACGCATTGAAGAACACAAGAACTCAATCAAAAAAGAAGAACCGACCTCTTCCCTGGTCCAACACCTCAAAGCCACAGGACATGAGATTGACTTTAAAAATACCAGAACTATCGCCAAAACCGAACACTTCAACAACAGAACAATCAGAGAAGCCATAGAGATAGAAAAACGCCCACACAGCATGAATAAACGAGATGACACCTCCCGCTTACCAGCCATTTGGAAACCCGCCCTCATGAACAGACAAGTACCTAACATGAAGAATGACACCAGACCCCACGAAGGCCACACAAGATGCTACCACCACACTTCCACGTAGAAAGCAGACTCACACCCACACAGAAGATGAGACACGACCACGGAGCAGAAGCCGCACCGCAGCTGCATCACTACCCGCTTCAAACCCCTCCGACCCATACATGAAGCGAACTGACGCCCACCATGAAGATGCGGCACTACCACGAACGCGAAGCCAAACAGCAGGATCACAGCTCACCAGCTCAAATCCCCCAGCAAATAAGACTAACCTGAGCACAAACAAGCCCCCACCTGAACAGAACACACCCCCACCCAATCAGAACACAGCCAAACCCCCAACCAATGAGAACATACCCCCAACCAATCAGGACACAGCCAAACCCCCAACCAATGAGAACATACCCCCACCCAATCAGAACACAGCCAAGCCCCCACCCAATTAAGTCACACCCCCACTAGCAGTTAAAAGGAAGAAGCAGCTGCAAGCTCACATTACTCTGAGAAGTACAGAGCCGAAGACACAAGCCTGAAGACGATGAATGAGACTTCATCAAAACGTTGCCTAGATACTTCAAATTTTACGCGGGAGAAAACCCGAATAAGCAAAGATCCACATACAAATACCCGCGAGAACCTCAAAAAACATAGATAGATAGATAGATAGATAGATAGATAGATAGATAGATAGATAGAT